TGCATGTGAATTATATGTGGTCTTATGTTTCTAAACTAAGAAAGTGGTTCTTAGTGGATTCTAAACGGATGTCATGTTTCTTGAAAATTTTGATTTTTGATACGTGCGATTGATATGTGTTATTTGAACTTTGTGTGAGGTAGCCGACTTTATGTCTGCTACATGTTTGCTCTAACTTTGTGTTTGAGTGCAGGTACGGTAAGGTAAAGGCGATGATGACCCCTGTCAACCCGAGTCTTGTGAACCGACTTTGGGCCAAGGTGGAGATTGTTGGTGTTGTGGCCCAAATGACATTTAATTGATGGCCCAATAGCCTAACAATTCTCTGGCCCAATCTCTTTGGCCTGAGCCCAGTATTGGCAGCCCACTTGATCTTCTTTTCTTTTAATATTACCTAGTGGACTAATTAAGATAGTGGCCTTTCAACATCTAACTCCCTTTGAATTTAAAATCGTGTCAATAGCCATTGAAATGGTCTTAGCCCTAAGAGTTTAAAAACTACACGCAGCAGCATTTTGAAAATAGGAAATCTGATCCGATTTTCACTCTATCTGTTTTCTCATTTGCTTACAAATACACGCAGGAAGCTTGTGAAGAAAAAAAATCCCATTTTTCCCTCTCTGTTGATTATTTCTATCGCTCTCTTTTGCTCTCTTTTTCGACTTGGTGTCTAGTGAACCAATTCTCTCTTATCCTATTGAATCTTGGTGATTATACGATTGTGAGTGTGTTAGGGTTCTTTAGTGTGTGAGCCGAGCGAGATTGTGAGAGGGGTTTTGGGGGATTTCGAGTACGGGCTGTCTTTCGGGCTGAGTGTTGTACGACGGTTGGTGGTGTTACCACTGGGCTTCCAGTGCCGGAATTATTGAGTCCAAGGGTCCATTGATCGGTTCGTTGTCGGCTATTCGGTGACTCATTTTGAGGGTTCGACATAAGGGGACTGAGCCTTCTTGAATTTCAACCCACCTTCGTGACATTCGGGCTTCTCGTACGAGAACACGAAAAGGGTGTATTCTGTTTAGCATATAATTGATGGGCAAAGGATAACCGAGTTACCCGACTCGGGTCGATCTCGAAGGAAGGCTATTCGGGGCTTCGTCTACTATATGATCGTCCAAATCACAAAAGTCGAAAATAAAATCCTGAACATTCTAAGCAATTGATTGGGGGTTTGATTATCACTAGACGAGCACTTAAAACGAGCAATTAATTAAAAGCAAGATGAAAAGACGAGCAATTCGCAATCTAGATCACCGGAGTCTCAAGCCATAACCAATACGGGATGATAATCAATCGACATACGGAATAAACGAGCTACGAGCATTAGATTTCTAAACCTAGTCGTCTAACCGAGATCAACAAGTAATTAACGGCTCTATCTACTCTAGCAAG